GGAGGGTATGTGGTCGCGCACTCGACGACCATGGAGACCACGCGATATCTTGCATGACCTGTGGGGCCCACAACTGTTTGCGTGATGGAGCTTGCGACGAGCCCGCGACGTGCGCTCGCACCGAGCCCTGCAACCAAACGCAGGCCACTGCAACCATGTGCGTTGAAAAACGCGGCCACCAGGCCCAGATTCGCCCTCTGTGTTTTTCTATCAGCCGCGCGCGTGGACTCCCAGCTCTGGGGTCACTGCACGCTCCAAATCTCTCATGGTGGCGTCAAAATCGTCAGCACGCACAACGGCCGCGGCCATTCGGCGGCCGCTGGTACTGGAGCGACCGATGCCGAGGCTAAGAAAGCAACGAAACATGGAGCTCGTGGCAGCACCAGCGTGCAGGGCCTTGCATTTGAATTCGGTGGACGGCAGGGGCCGCAACTGTCGCGTCTGCTGCAACACCTACCGAACCTTACCTGACTCCAACACCATCTCCATGACACGCGTTATGCACGATCTCTGCTCCTCATCCCTCTCCTCATCAAGGCGAGGATGTCAAGTGTCCTCGCGATTGGCATAGTATGCCCTCAAGTTGTCTTTGCTTTTTTCCTCACACACAGCCCACTCCACATGGGCGGCTTCGGTCTGCATGGCGTCTTCAGCGTAAAGCACACCCCCGGCAACGATACCCTCTGGCGTCTTTCCGCGGATTTCTGAGTTCCGAGTTCCCCTCATCATCCGTTTCCTCTTCCTCCCCCTGTTACTTCTGCCCCACCCTGCTCCTCCCCTCCTCAGCCTTCTCCTCCCCCTCCTACTCCTCCTCCCCCTCCTCATCATCTCCCTCCACCTCCTCCTCCTCCTCCTCCTCTCCTCCTCCTCTTCCTCCTCCTCCTCCTCCTCTCATTGGTCTTCCCCCATTCATCTTCGACCCCCCGCCCTGCCCTCGACGAATCCGACAAAAGCACCAAATGATTGCGCCCCTGACCCAGACCCTCGACATCATGAATGTTGTACAACGTCGACACCCACAAGTCTCGACCCATTCTTCCGGACCAGTTTTCACAAAGGCCGAAATTAGCCCAAAACTTCCCGTCGTGATTTTGTTCGTGGCATGGGGGGGTCTGGGGATGAGCGCACTTCGAAATATCTCCCAACCTCAGCGTCCTGACTTCGGCGGCGCGCCAGGGGGGAAGTGAGAGGATCAGGCCTTTTCAGAAGACGGCGGGGCTTCTCAAAGCCCTCCAGCCCTGTGGGAAGCCGCCAGTGTCTCCGCAGAAGGCCCAAACACTTCTCAGAAGGCCGGAGGGCTTGCGACCGAACCTTCTGAGCAGGCCCGCCCCCGACGTCATGACTGTTTCATAACGTCGACCCCCAGAAGTCTGGACCCCTTCCCTGGGACCTGTATTTTATCCTGGGCTGTTTTTGGATGGTCTCGGGGGCCAGTAAGGGCCCCCGGAGGCCGAAGATGGCGAAGTGACCGTTTTCTTTTTCTGCGCTTCGACCTTGGGCGGAAGGGGGGGGGATCTGGCTTTGGACCACTGCATGAGTGTCTGTTTACAAAAGAGAACCCTATGGGGGAGACCCCACCTGCCTGAAACAAGCGCCCAAACCAGCCACGATCTACTCCATGGGGAGGCGGGGGGGGGAGGCGGGGTGCGAAGGCCCGCGCAGATCCGCAAAACAATGACTACGACAACGACGACGAGCAACGCCTCCCGTCATGATTCTGTTCCCTGCACGAAGGGGGTCTGGGGACGGCGCTCCGCCGCCGCTTCAGCCGGGACCGGCATTCGTGTAGGCCGACCACGACATGTCCTTAGAACCCAGAAGTGCTCCACGGCCAAAGGCACTGCTCTCAGAACAGGGACCCGACGTGTCAAAACAGGACGGCCTCAGCCAAAACGAATCCTCATAACATGTCGTGCAGACCACGAACGCTGCTTAGAACGCCCTTTGGTAAGCCTACAGGCGAGCCGAGGGGCGCTGCGCCGCTGCTCGAACCGCCCGCTGCCGAGGACTGCAGCCCCGACGAGAGCAGGGGCCGGCCGCCTCTTCACGGTGTCCGAGGACCGCTGCAGCAGCCGCACCAGCCGCGCCAGGGCCTCCGCGCTCACCTCCTGGGGACGCGCAGTAGGAGACGCGCGGGCGGGCGCGTTCTCCGAAGACAGAGAAAAAAGGATCAGAAGGCGCGAAAGCTGCTGAAAAGTCCCGTCGCTTTCTGGGAGGGCCTTCTGATTCTCACTTCCCCCCCTCGCTCACCGCCGACATGAGAGCTGATGGCACGCTGGCGCGGTCGGGCCTAAGACAGAAGAGCACCCTCCAAAAACATGAGAACCTTCGCGGGCCAAACGGAAAAACCTTCGAGGGTGGCCTCCCCCAGGATGCACAAGAACATGCGGCAACCACGAGGAACAGTAGGGCACACTCCCCGGACCGACTTCGCCCTTATACCTCGGTCCAGCCGCACGTGGAATTGGACGCACAGCAGCCTCGGAGAGGTCTTCTCCTAACGCCGCCACTCACGCCCATGCCGATTCGCGGCTTGCTTGGGATGTCCACACCCGTGCCGCCCGCCTTGCCTGTAGCGCGGTCGTGCTGCATGTCGACCAGAGTGGGTATAGATAGCACCGTGGTGTTGTTGGGGCCCTGGCGTGGCGTTAGGGACGATACGTGAGAGCCTGTAATACCGTATGCTGAGTGCTTTACCGATACTGTACAGCAGGATGGGGCGCAGAAGCACATGCCAGTACTATGTGCTGATGTTGGAGGCACATGCCTGGCACGAACGCATACAGTATAGAACTCGTGTCGTATACATTGTCTCCCGAACGGTGTGGCCATAAAGTGTGTGTATAAGGAGACGGCCGAAGGGCCGTTCCTGTACGGGGTCTGTCGGTAGAGGCGAGGAGTAGGACTCCATTTCCAGGGCACTGCGCATGGAGCAATGCTCTGTCAGCTCTAATGCCAATACCTGAGCCGATTCAGCTGCGGTATATGATGGTATAATGGGGATATGAGCGGACTTCACAAACAGAAAGGGCCCGCCACAGGATACCGGAAGATGTCGGAGCGTGCGCGCCGTCCTTGCGGCGCCCGGGCATACCTCCGACCCCTGTCCACATGGGCGTGGTGTGGGCCCCGCTGGCCGATCAGCCCCGTCAGATGGGGATATCGGCCGCTCCCTTCGCTTCTTGAGGGGTATAACTACACCTATGTTTAGACATGCGTATATGTATACATATCTATATATATACACATGTATATATATATATATATATGAGTTTATAATCGCACTCTATATATACACATATAAATCCCCTACGGGGGTGCTGAGATTGTGGGGACCTGGATAGGGATGGGGATGGGGAGAAGGACGGTTGACCGATGCTGAGCTTGGGTGATGCCGACAAGACGGTCGAGCGCCACAGCCCCTTCACGCCGACCTCCTTGCCTCACCCGGCGGCGCGCCTCCCGCCCTGCACGGCGCAGCGCCCACACTCTCAACGATGTGACAACGCCGGGTGTGTCGTTTCCCCCCCCCCGTGTTCTTCTATCGGGGAGACATAAGACTCGGGTACGCGGGACTCGGCGGGTTGGCCTGACGGTGCCATCATAAAAATGACGAGATCCGATCTGAAAGTTGACACGAGCTCCCGCTGCAGACATCCCACGAAAACTGGACCGTCAAAATCTAGGACGCGCTCGTCAAGCAAAACATCGGCAAACCCGAAATCTGGCTTACTCGAGTCTTACGTTTCCCCGATCCTTTCCAGCGCTGACCTATTTCGCGTCTGCACGCCTCTCCCTCCGCCTGCCCCCGCGCGGCCGCTCTCGTCTTCCTCGCCCCCTCGTGCACGCCGGCCAGTTAGCCTCTCGGAGGCCCCGAACAACCACGCGCTGGAGCGGACAGCCTCTGCCTCGCCGCTGGACAAAAAGAGTTCCACTTTCTGGTATTCGGTCAACCGTAGCGGGGAAACACACACGGCAACCCGATCCGTCAACCAAAAACAAAAATCGGCAGCGCCAAACGGAGCCGAACCGACAACGACGCGGACAAGAGCCCAGAACGGGCAACGTACTCGACGCGGTGATCCACAGATGTGCACGTCATGTTCTGCCACGTCAGGCTGTGCGTCTGGCTTTGGGTGCAGTGCCAGGGTGAGATCGTGAATCCAAGTGGACGGCGGATGCAGCAATGACGGCGGCCACGATACGAGACAACGACGAAGACAACTCACAGCAGACATGCGGTGAGCAGGACCCCGTCCCCTCCCCTTGTGCTTCCTCCTCATCGCAGCCGTTCCCTTTTTGTTATCCCTCTTCCCATTTCCCTCCTCCTGCGTCCTCCTCCTTCCTCCTCCGTCCTCCCTCCTCCTCCTCCTCGTCCTCCTGCCTCCGTCCTCCTCCTCCTCCTCCCTCCTCCTCCCTCCTCCTCTCAATCCTCCTGCGTGATCTTCCTCCTCCTCCTCCTCGCCGTCCCTACTCCTTGGCAAACGTCCTTCTCTGTCCTCCTGGGTGATATTCCTCCTCCTCCTCCACCTCCTCCTCGTCCTCCCTATCCGTCCGTCCTCACGCCTCATTTCTCTTGGCTGGCAAGGGCCCTCATCCCTGGCGGCTTCGTCCCCCCGAGCAGAGCAGCGCGCCACGACCTACAACAACGCCGACGACGACGACGAAGACAACGGATTCGGGAGGGAAGAAAAGGAGGAGGCTGGAGGATGGAGGAGGGGACGAGGCACGATGAACGAATCAAGGGAAAGGGAGGGGGGACGGGGAGGTGGATGGGGAGGAGGGAGGGGATGGGGATTGGGGACGACCAGCAGGGGTATGATCGGCGGAAAAGAAAAACGCCAGAATGCGGACAACACCGCAGGCGTGTGCTCGGCATCCGTGTTGGGGTTTTGACAGCATCCCTGCCTCCAGGAGGGGGGGCTGGAGGACGAGCAGGGAGGCGACGACGACGGCAACTTTGGGGGCAAAGGGAGCGAGACGTGCCCGCGACGGCCATTTTACGCCGTCAGAGCGCCGTCGATAGTGAGGCACGATCCACACACCATCGGGCACCTGGGCGAGCTGAGCCACAGCACGGCCTCCGCAACCTCCTCGGGCGTGCCGATGCGGCCCGCGGGGAAGCTGGAGTTCTGCCTGTCCTGCCAGTCGGGCCAGCTCTGCGAGAACCTCTGGACCATGGGCGTGTCGGTGGTGCTGGGGCAGACGCAGTTCACCCTGATGCCGAACGGGGCGTACTCCCTCGCAGCGCAGCGCGTCAGGCCGATCACGGCGTGCTTGCTGGCGCAGTACGGGGAGAACTCGGCCATGGCGCTCAGGCCAGCCGTCGAACTCGTGTTCACGATGCTCAGGCCCACAGTGTCCACCGCCTTCGGGGACTTCGGGGATGCGCCGACGACGACCGGGTTGAGCTTCAGCTGCGCCAGCATCTGCCGGATCTCCGCGCGCATGCAATTGAACACCCCGCCCGCGTTCACGGCCATCACCCGCTCGAAGTCGCCGGGGGCCGTCTCGTGGAGCGGCGCTCTCCCGCCCTCGATGCCGGCGTTGTTGAAGCAGTGGTGCAGCGAGCCGAACGTGGCGACCGTCTGCTGAACCAGGGCATCGACCTTAGAGGACCAGCAAAACTGCACGAACATCAACTTCCAAAGCAAGGGCTCCTAAGTTCGCGCTTCGCGCTGCGCGAAGCGCGAAGCGCGAATAACTTCGCGCCCTCGCGCCGCCCCCCCAAAGGGAGAGAAGAGGAGGACGAGGAGGAGGGGGAGGAGAAACGAGGACCGCGAAGCGCGAAGCGCGGATAACTTCGCGCCCTCGGGGGAGCCCTTGCTTAGAGGACCAGCAAAACTGCACTCACATCAACTTCCAAAGAACCGCGCGGATTTCTTGGATCAGCGCTGACCCCCCCGCCGCGCGGAGCGCGGCAGGGGGGCCCCAGAGTCGACCCGAGAACTCCGCGAGGACCTCCCCAAATGCATGCTGCTCTGCAATGTCTGAGCTCCCTCCACTGCTGTCTGCCCTGCAAGGGCGTGCTCCAAGACATCCACGCGGACAATCGATCACTTGGGCGACGATCAGAAAGTTATCCTTCGCGAGATGACGTAGCGACCTTGCGCCGCAGCTTACGCGGGCCGCCCACGCGGAATGCTAAAATTCGAGACGAGGGCGCTTGCTCGCGAGCTGGCGCGGGTAGCTCACGCGCCAGTGTCGGCGCAGACGGCCCCGTTTTTTTCTGCGCCGCCTATTCGATGCCCTGCGCAATGCTGTGTCTCTTCTTCCGGGCCTCCTCCGCGGCCGCCACGTCGCACCGGAACGGCACCGCGCGGCCCGGCGCCCCGCCGGCAAGGGAGCAGGTCTCCTCCGCGAGGGCCAGGTCGACGTCGGCCACCTCGTCGTCGTCGTCGTCATCGCCGCCGCCCGCGAGTCGGACGCCCCGAAGCTGACACGGGGAAGGCCAGGGAGGACCTGGCTCGGGCGGGGAGCCATGGAGCAGGGCTCGGCGAGGCCCCAGGCCGCGGTGACGGCGAGGTTGGCTCACGGCGATGCTGGGGCTCTGGCTTCTGCGACGCCGACCCCGCGCAGGACAGCTTGCACGAACAGCGCGTTCCTCCAACTGGGTCGGCCAACAGCCACCCCGCCTACATCGCCGAGGTCTGCATCGCCATGTAGCGTGCCTACGGGAGACACCGCCGCTAGGTCGGCGATGGGCCCCCGATGGCGAGTCTGGACTGTCCTGGGCGGGGTGGGAAATCGGGCTGTTATCGTCCATGAACGGGCTAATGGGTTCGATCGGGGAAACCCAGAAGGTACCAATACCGCCGTACCGCTATTCCCCGAACCTCTCCTGGGGCGTGTTCTCAGCAAGATTTCGAGGCGAATCCAGCGGTGGCGACGAAGGCCTCCCGGGAGACCCAACAAAGGGAAAACGGGTAGGGGGTAGCGGTACGGGTGCAGTGCGGGCGCGGCCGCAAGAAACCCTCGCAAGAAACCCGACCCTGAGAACCCGTGCGCGAGGTGCACCTGAGGGGAAACCCGGGGCACCCTGAACGCAGCAGCTCCTTCAACGCCTGCGGGAAGTCGCCGCGCAACGCGCGGAGCGAAGAAACCCAGGATACCCTGACGAAACACACACATGGTTTCTTGATTCGGGGAGACGTAAGACCCGGGTACGGGGGACTCGGAAATCCCCGACGAGGTCGTCAACAAAAATGACGAGGCCGAGCCTGCATTTTGACGAGGCCTCCCGCTGCAGACATCCCACGAAACTCCTCCTCGTCAAAATCCGAGGCGCGGTCGTCAAAAAAAGATGGCGAACCCGAGTCCCGGCAAACCCGGGTCTTACGCTCCCCCGATTGATGCGCACCCCCACTGCAGCGCTACGGGTACCTTCTTTTCTTCTCCGACTGTCCCCCCCTGGCAGCGTCGGTCCTCGGCCATGGCCAGGGGCGCGCCCTGCCCAGGCTCTCGAGGCGGCTCCCGCCGTGGCAAACGAGCTTCGGTCAGGCATGTCCTCCTACGGGCGGGATTGAAAGACAACTAAAGCGTAGTGAACAAGTGCCCCAAAAAATAGTCGGACGTACGCGACAACATGTCCCCATACTATTATTATTATTATTATTATTATTATTAATATTATTATGATTATTATTATTATTAGTATTATTATTCTTATTATTATTATTATTAGTAGTAGTAGTAGTATTATTGCTATTGTTGGATAACGTTTGAACGTCCCTCCTGTAGAGGGACATGCCCGAGTTCACGCAAGATCTCGAGACGGATCTGGCTGTGGCGCGAGAAGAAATAGTAGAAGTAGGTAGAACCATGAAGTAAGAAAGCGGAAAAAGTAGATTGGGTCCGGGCCCGCCCAGAGAGTAGCAAAACGCAGCAAAAGCATATCGGCTTTTGAAGGAGGAAGGTGCTTGAACTAGATTGGGTTCTAGGAATCCGAAAATACCTACTTTCAACGACCGATGGGTACCCCCTGCGGAGGCCCCGAGGACGCGCGTCGTCGTCGCGCCGCCGCCGCCGTCGGCAGCTTCGACGCCGTCCACACAGCCAAGGCGACGAGGCCGCCGTCGTCACGCCGTCGGCGTCGGCGTCACGCTGTCGCCGTCGGCGCCGGTAGCCTTCCTGAGGGTGCCAATTCGCCGTCGTCGCGGCGACGTCGGCGCCGATAGCCTTCATGAGGGTGCCGATTCGCCGTCGTCGCGGCGTCGACGTCGGCGTCACGCCGTCGTCGTCGGCGCCGACAGCCTTCCTAAAAGGCACCGATTCGCCGTCGTCGCGGCGTCGCCGACTTTTCGGACGCCCGACATGGGTACGGAAGAAATAGACGCAATGCCCAACAACAAATGTTGCCCACAACCGACAGCGGCCGCTCTTAGGCAGGCGGCTTCTTTGCTTTTAATGAGCAACGTCCGCGGCGGCGCGGACAGCGAGTCTTGTTCAAAATGAACAGGAACTTGAGTAGGGCTGGGGGGTCAGGTCTGCAGAACACCCCAAACGGACGTCAAGGGGCGCAACCAACCTGTTCGGTCAAGATGACATTTATGCGCCATACCTGGCGTCAAGCCAAAACCTTGGACATAAGCGAATGGTTGGACGTTGCACATCTTCGTCGGCTTAACCAGCGAGGCATTCGACCACCTTGACGTTCCTTCTCTTCGGTGGTCCTGCAGAGGAAGGCGCTCTCTGACCCTTGGCCCTACTCAAGCAGGCACTGCTCTTGTAGACCTCCTAGATGGGGTCGGAGTAGATGGGGTAGGAGGATCACGCCGCAACGCCAATACATCGGCGATGCATCGGCGAGGCATCGTCGAGGCATCGTCGACGTCGACGATGCATCGGCGACGACGACGCGGAACAACACGGGCTGCACATCGAGCCGCATCGGCGATATATCGGCGATGCGACGCTATCCTCCGACCCCACCTGCTCCGACCCCATCTAGGAGGCCTAGATCTTGGACATCGTACCTCTTCTTCCCGTCCCCTTCTGGGATTTTGGTTGAACAATATAAAATGATACCGGAGAAAAACCCCAATCAGATGTTTGTTAGGGCTATAGGGCTATAGGGCAATTGGGCTATAGGGCTATACGGCTATCGGGCTATAGGGCTATAGGGCTATCGGGCTATAGGGCTATAGGACTGTGACCTATAGGGCCATAGGGCTATAGGGCTATGGGGCTATAGAGCTATATGGGCTATGGGGCTATAGGGATATAAGGCTATTAGGGCTATGGGGATATAAGGCTATAGGGCTACAGGGCTAGGGCTTTACGGCTTTACGGCTATAGGGCTATAGGGCTACTGGGCTATTGGGCACCCCCGGGCACCCCCGGGCACCCGGGCAACCCTGGGCACCCGGGCACCCGGGCACCCAGGCCCGGCCACCGAAATCGGCCACCCGGGCACCCCCGGGCACCTGGGCACCCGGCCCCGGCCACCGAAATCGGCCGCCGACCTCACCTCAGCTTTATATCCGCTGGGACCCCTACAGAAGCAAGCTCTGATTGGGGAAATACTTTAAAACATACCCCCCAAATGGGCAAGAACATTAAAACATCGACCCCAGACTATTTCTTTGACTTTTCCTCCTGTAGAGGGACAGGCCCGACTTAGTCAGATTCAAGCAGGCGCTGCTCTTGGACATCGTAGCCCTTCTCCCCGCACCCACTTCGATCGTCCCGAGACGTCGGCCACCGCCACGCTGGCGCCCTCCCGGGCGAAGGCGAGCGCCGCGGCGCGGCCTCGGCGGCGCTCGCGGGCCAGCCACACACTGGGGGGGAATCGGGGCCACTAAGCCTCTCGAGGCGTGCACCATCGCTGGAGGCAGCGGGCCGCTCGCCATCGCTCGGACGTCCATTCCCCGTGCATTTGTCGGTTTCGTGCTTTTCTTTGGTGCTCGGTGATCCAGATCGGTCCGCAACGAGGAAGAAGTGCAAACGTCCGAGCGAGGCCGAGGCCGTGGGCGAGCGGAGCTGGACGCTGCCAGCTCTTCCGCGCCGGTCCCCCTCTCTCCCCCATCTCGCTGCATCCCTCTCTCGACCTTGTCGCTCTGCGGCCTGCAGCCGCGCCGAAACCAGTGTAGGAATCATCGCTGCTCCGGGCGGCAAAAGGTGGGCGGATCGCTGCCAGCACGCAACTCTTCAGCGCAAAAGTCGAACCCCTCGCGCTCTCTCTTTCTCGCTCTCGCTCTCGCTCCGTACCGTGCAATGACCTCGGAATCCCAACGGCCTCACCTCACGGTCCGCCACCGCAGCGTTTTGGGATTCGGAAGGCCCCAAGTGCCCGAGACAGCCTCGGATGACGATCCAAGTGCCAATAACCGCACTGACTCACCATAGAGCGCATTTTTTATTCACGGCCATATGGGGCGTTATGGGGGGGAGGAGGGGGAGCGGGAGGGGGCGTAACGAGGGAGCATAACGTAGCGCACCCCCCCCCCATTCTGTGGTGCCCGACGCACTGCGGCAGTGCCGGGTGCGCACGGATGGGGGGAGCGTTACGTTATGGGGCGGGGGGGCTTTGGGGGGGAGGGGGGGGGGGGGGGGCATAATGCGTGTAATGGCCCAGAGGTGAAGTTTTAAAAACATTCTCATAGGGTGTGGTCACCGCACCTTTTGGTGGCTCCCAACACAAGGAACGCCGCAGAAGAAAACAGGAGCGAAAAGGGGTTCTCTCTGGCCACGCACATGGCCTGAGGTCCAAAGAGCGGCGCGAGAAAACCAGCCCCTCCCGTGTTCAAGGTGGTCCTCGAATCAGCGCCTGGACTGTACAGTAAGAGCTCGACCACTAGAAACCTTCCACAAGAAGCCCAACCCTGAAATTCGGGGGTGTCTATTGATTGTTGTATATGAGCGTCACGCTTTCCATACCAGAGCCATCGGAACCCAAGGAACCAAGGGCACCATGGAGGCAAACAAAATGTTTCTTGGAATGGGCTCCCACTGTAAACCAACACCTCTCCCGTGTCCAAGGTGGTTCTCGGTTCAGCGCCTTGACTGTAGAGTGCCACGAGTGTGAAGCCAGGGCGGCAGAATCATCATTCGAGTAGGGAAAATATTCCATAATTTATTTACCCCATGATTGTCATTTCTTTATCCAACCGAACCAACTGAAAATACGTAGGAGCAGTTCACGCAGTTCTGGAGGATTCTACGAGTACAGCAATGTTGGGGTAAGTCAACTCTGTAATCGGTCCCCTACCCGACTTATGCTGTCCCAATTATCCAATGTACTGAACAAAAAAACAGGTTGTACACTCAATTGTCGGCCTCTGGGGGCACTCTCTGGCCCCCAGAACCATCGAAACAACGACTCAGAATGGAAAGCAGACCCTGGGAAAACGGTCGAAACTTTCGGAAGTGTGCTGATGAAACAAATCTATACAGTCGGATATCTGGGGAATCTCAGTCAATAGGACCCTGCCCCCTCTTGGTGCCGCGGGTGCGACGCGGGGGCGCATGGACATGCCCTGCACACTCTCGTTTGAGCAGTCCCTATAAGCCTATAGGACTACTACGACATGCTCTCGAGTCCGCAGGACTTTCTCCACAAAAAGATGGCTTCGACCAGAAATGTTCTAAGAACGACTCCTGGAAACCAACAGAGATTATGAGAGCATCTGCCGGCGGGCTCACGAGGCCAGGTGAACGTTTTTTATTTTGCGTTTCGACATTGGGCGGAAAAGGGGGGAGGGGTGTGTGTCTGGCTCCGGAGCTCTGCGACTGCTTGCAACAGTGCGTCCTATGGGGGAGACTCCGCCTGCTCGAAACAGGCGCCCAAAACAACCGAGTTCTGCTGTATTGGAGGGGGGAAGGGGGAGGGGTGCGAGGGCCCGCGCCGATCGGCAAAACAAGGACTGAGAAAGCGAGCACCAGACTGTTCGAAGAACGACGTCTGGAAACCGCGCGAAATGATCAGAACATCTGCCGGCGTGCTCCGCGAGGCCAGACGCTCAGGCCTGCTTCGTCGCTGCTCGACTCCGGGAGGCTTCTGCGAGAAGAGGCCGCCGCCACCGAGCACCCACGCGGGCGGGCCCCTTCTCTTCGCGTGAGGGGCGACGATAGGGGGGGGATAGGCATAGGGGGGGATGCAATGGGCATCCCCCCCTATGATAATCGCCGAGGATCGCGAAAGAGAGGGGTTCCCCCCCCAATCTTCATCAGAGCATGCCCCTCCTCCTCCTCCTCCTCCCCTCCTCCTCCTCTTCTTCTTCTTCTTCTTATTATTATTATTCTTCTTCGTCTTCTTCTTCGTCTTCTTCTTCTTCTTCTTATTCTTCTTCTTCTTCTTCTTCTTTTTCTTCTTTCTTCTTCTTCTTTCTCGTTCCTCCTCTTCCTCCCTCCTCCTCCTCCTCCTCCTCCTCCTCTCCTCCTCCTCCTCCTCCTCCCTCCTCCTCCTCCTCCTCCTCCTCCTCCTCCTTCCTCCCCCTCCCCCCCCCCCTCCCCCCTCCCCCTCCCCCTCCCCCTCCCCCTCCCCTCCCCCCCCCCCTCCCCTCCCCCTCCCCCCCTCCTCACTCCCCCTCCTCTCCTCCCTCCTCCTCCTCTCCTCCTCTCCTCTCCTCCTCCTCCTCCTCCTCCTTCCTCCTCCTCCTCCTCCTCCTCCTCCTCCGCCTCCGCCGCCGCCGCCGCCGCCGCCTCCGCCTCCGCCTCGCCTCTCGCCTCCTCCGCCTCCGCCTCCTCCTCCTCCCCCTCCCTCCTCCTCCTCCTCCTCCTCTCTCCTCCTCCTCCTCCCTCCCCCTCCTCCTCCTCCTCCTCCTCCTCCTCCTCCTCCTCCTCCTCCTCCTCCTCCCCCCCCCTCCTCCTCCTCCCCCTCCTCCTCCTCCTCCTCCTCCTCCTCCTCCTCCTCCTCCTCCTCCTCCCCCTCCCTCCCCTCCTCATCCTCCTCATCCCCCTCCTCAACCCCCGCCTCCACCTCCTCGTCCTCCTCCCCCCCCCTCCCATCCTCGTCCTTGGCGGTCTCCCTCTCCCGGGGCCCACCTCCTGCTCAGCCTCTCGGGCGGACCTCGGCCGTGGCGACGCACCAGGCAAACCCGGAAGCGGCCCCGGACACACGACTCATCCGAGACGACGACGGCGCGAAGTTGCCGTGCGCCGACGACGACGACGACGACGACGACGACGACGACGACGACGACGACGACGACGACGACGACGACGACGACAACGACGCTGTCACCGCCGCCGCCGCCACCGCCCGCCGCCGCCCGCCGCGGCGCGGCCGATGCCCCCGCCGCCGCCGGACACCAGGGCGACGCGCCCGGCGAAGCTGCCCGCCGCGGCCAGGGCCGCAACCTGGGGAAGCCGACGCGGCCAATGCACGGCCCGCATCAGAAGGATGCGCGATAAGGATGCAAGGGCCTCGGCCGCCCATTTCGCAACTTTTCGAGCGGGGCGCGGCCAACGAAAGTGGCCAAGGATGGACGGAGGAAGCAAGGATGCAACGATGCAGGCGTGCTCGTTGGAGGAGGAGGAGGAGGCGGAGGAGGAGGAGGAGGCGGAGGCGGAGGAGGAGGCTGCGGAGGAGAAGGAGGAGGAGGCTGAGGAGGAGGAGGAGGCGGAGGAGGAGGAGGAGGAGGAGCCCAGCCTTGCCACGAGGGTCGACTGTGCCGCGACTCTCCGGACCTCACCCTGGGAGGTGCACTCTGACCAGGGCTTCGGGGCGCAGCCAGCCGTGGCGACGAGAACCCTCCAGGAGGCCCCAGACGGTCCAAAGAGGCAAGGGCCGCGCTAGCGGCACGGCAAGTTCGTGTCGTGACAACCCAAGCGTTGGAGGCGTGGAAATGGGCACCACCACCAACACAGGGGGGGTGCCTCCAAAGGGGGAAGATGATCCTAGATTTCGGTGCTGGTGGTAATATTTCGGCAACCTGGGAAGCCAGAGTATTACCACCATCACCGAGATCGAGATCGTCTTCCCTCGGTGGAGCACACCGCTGAGATTGGTGTTGGTGTCAACCTCCAGGACTGCGAAAGCGTTGCCTTCTCTGCCACCACGCGGATCGTTCGGCCAAGCGTGAGCGATCGGCAGCTCTTCGATGCGGCGTCCTCCCTCTCCGCGGCCCTGAGGAAGCTCTGGAAGTACCGCGAGGTCTTCGCCTTCTTCAAGGCCGCCGTGTCCTCGCACGGCAGCGTGAGCGATCGGCAGCGTGAGCGATCGGCAGCTCAGAAATGCTTCCAGGCTGGTCGATCTTGGACCAACGGGAAGCTCTGACCGGAACGCCCGTGGCGGGGCCGCCGCCGCGTCGACACGACACGAGCCTGCCGCACGGTGGCGGCCCGACCACACGACACCTGCCACGAGAGACCCAACCCTGAGACCCCAGGACGTTTGCTGATTTCTGGTGTGGGGACGTCGCGCTTTCCGTCGCAGAACCATCGACTCCCAGGAAACCCAGGCCACCCTGGAGGCAAGCAGGGTGTGTCTTGCCATGGGTCTCCACTATTCTCGTTTCCCCAGCGCGGCTTGAAACGGCGACGGAGTGCGGGGGCACTTCTGGCGCGCGGCAGCGCGCCAGGGGCGACGCAGGCGCCGCCGCCAAGGGCTCCGGCGCCGATCCAAGAAATCCGCGCGGACCCAAAAAGTTCACGCGAATGTCATCCTCTGATCCTCGGAATGTGCTTTAGTCTGCGGCAAGAAGGAGCCTCATCTTGGAGGCTTGGAAATAAGCACCAGCACCATCACAAGGGGTTGACTTCAATGGGGGACTCTTGTCCTAGATTTTGGTGTTGGTGGTAATCTTCTGGCCTTCTGGGAAGCGCGAGTGTTACCACCATCACCGAGATCTGCGTCGTCTTCCTCTGGTGGAGGCGCACCGCCGAAACTGCTGCTGGTGCCAACCCCTGGGTGTGCAATCCTTCGCCCCTCTGACGACCTCAGGGGCGCTGCCCGCCGCGGCCAGGGCCGCCATTGGCCGCCGCTGCCGCGGCCGCCGGCTGCAGCTGGCGGCCGCTACGGTCCGATGGCCGCGGGCCGCCGCTGCAGTTCGGCGGCGAGCCAGGGGGGGGGAGCGTGAAGGAGAAGAAGGCCTTCTCTCCTCGCGGCCCAGAAGGGGGTCCAGCTGAAAGGGGGCGGTGCAATAGGTTTTGGGGCACTTGTCTTGCAAATGTATTGCGCCAGAGGATTGTATTGCAATGTATTGCAACTGACGCATTGCACGCGAAAGCCCATCAATACATCTGCGCACCAGAATGTATCGCACGCCCCAAATATACTGCAGCCCAGCAAATCTATTGCACCTGATTTTGCACCACCTCTTTGTCGCTGGACCTGCTTTTGGGCCAACCAGAGAGAAGGATACGGCCTTCTCAGGAGGCTCGGAGGTCCCCTGGCCTTCTGGGAAGTTCTCTGAATCTTCCACGGAGACACGGAATTCTACTCCTCAGGAGGCAAGCGGGGGCCTCTCAGAAGTCGACGCCTTCTGGGGAGGCCCTCTCCTTCTCAGCAGCTGTGCACTTAACCTGCCTCCTGTGGGCTGACCAGGTGGGCCCTGCGTATCGCGCGCGTCGCGCGGCGTCCTGGCGGCTCTCTGGCCTTTGGGCGCTCATGGTCGGCGGCGATGATGGGGGGCGAACAGCCCAGGGGCGGGCATTACACGCATTCGCCCGGGAGCCGTTCGAAGACATCGATCATCGGCGCACCCGAATACATGTATTGCTCTCCCTTGGACTATTCGCCCCTATCGTCGCCTCTGACATGGGAGGTTTACAAACCACGCATTTGCAACCCAGAGCAGGGGCGCTTTTCCATCCCACCAGAAGGCCTTCTCCTTCGCACCTCGCCCCCCCGCCGCTCGCCGCCGTGCAGCGGCCTCCGGCGGAGAGCGCGGAGGGCGGAGCGCGCCGCAAAAAAAAACGCGGCGGCGGCGGCGGCTCGAGCCCGCGCGGCGGTGCGGGCACGGCAGCCGGCGCTTGCAGGCGTGCTGCCGCGGATGTTTGCGTGGATATTTCTGTCGGTGCAGAACCCCGAGAAACGGCGAGCGACAAAACGACGCGAACTTCATGTGGATGGTTCGTGATGTCATTCGGGGCCACAACAAAAGTCAACGAATTTCACTCCGAAATCCGGAACGAAATTATCCAGGACAATCCTCGCCCATCCCATTGCTTTCCGAGCGAAATCCGCTCTGCGATGTTGTCGCCAGGACACAAGGGTGTAGGGGAAAGGGAGGCGTAAGACTCGGGTGCGGAGGACTCGGATTGGCCTGACGGGGCAATCATAAGAATGGCGAGACCGAATCTGAAATTTGACACGAGGCCCCCCGCTGCAAGCATCCCACGGAAACTGGTCCGTCAAAATCCAGGACGCGCTCGTCAAAGAACGGCGGCAAACCCGAGTTCCGGCTTACTCGAGTCCTACGTTTCCCCGATAGAACGCGCCTGCCCTACATCTACAGAGCAGGCCCGCGCCTTCTGACATTCAAGCGTGCTACCAAGAAGCCTTCCCCCCTCCCTAAATACCTGCCTCTGCGCGTGGCCGAGGCTGTGCGGTCATGGCAGCGGAGCAAGGCAGGCCCAGACCTCGCCCGTTGTTGGGGCCCCCCCGCCATCAAGAATCACCCGGGTGCAAAAGCCAAGCTAGAGGCCTCCTAGATGGGGGGTCCAAGTAGATGGGGTCGGAGGATCGCGCCGCATCGCCGATGCACATCGAGCCGCATCGGCGATGCATCGACGATACGGCGCGATCCTCCGACCCCATCTACTCGGATCCCCATCAGGGAGGCCTAGACAAGCCCCTGGGGGGGGGGCGCGGCGTTGCAGGGCCTACCGGGCCGCGCCCCGCCGCCGCCCCGCCCCCGAGGCTGGAGCGCAGCACCGCCGCAGCCGAAGGCAGAGGGCACCCGAGAGGGCCCACGACTCTCCCGAGGGCGGCGTGGCACGAACGTCTGCCCGAAGGCATGTGCCACAACAGCACGACGACGGCAACCGTCGACCGTTCGGGCCGGGCGAAAGGGGGGGATAGCATAGGGGGGGGTTGAGAATCAGCTCACGTAGCTGATTTTTCCGGCGCCTCCCGGCGCCCACGTATCGAGGAATGCGCCCCTCGGTGGGGCCGAAACCAGCTGCATGCAGCACATTTCGTACCCCCCCCTTCCCAATCCCCCCCTCTCGCCCGGCCCGAACCTGGCGGTGCCCCTCCTCCTACTGTGGCGGCCACACCAGGCTGCCCAAGGATGGCAAATCCAAGTCGCGATGACGCTGGCGTTGAATCGTGCCACTTCCGAACGCGAGCAAACGGGTCAGCGCAAACCGGGTAGCACGCCCAATGAGCAACTTAGAAACCGCCAGGCTCGGTATCTGGTTTATGTTGACTGGTGAACGCGTCTGTGAGATCGTCTGAGATCTCAGAACGGAGGTCGCTCAACAATGTCGGGGAGACGCGAGACTCGAATTCCGAGGACCCAGAACTGCACGACAGCGCCGCCAGAAGAACACTGTGTGAAAATTGATCCGATCCCCTGCTACAAGCGTCGCACTGGCACCGGACCTGCAAAACTCACGCAATGCGGTCACAAAGCGGCAGAACCCGATGCTTCCGCAAAGCCAAGCACCTGAAAACGGAGCGATAATAAACGGGGCGGTAGCTAAGGGGCCTCTGCAAGCGAGAACGGGGCGACCGGGCACTTCCCTCGCACTAGTGCGTGATAAATCGGGACGGCCAAAGCGTCGATACATCACCATAACTCTGGGATGAGGGCTTTACCTCGCACTTGCGCGCGGCAAATCAATTCTTTGAGAACACCAGTGACAGCGCATCCTCAGCTACCGGCCCGTTGAAATACTAACGCCCCGTTTGCAGGGGCGTGGCAAACTCGAGCCTCAGACCACCCCGATGCTGGCCGAGCCGAGGCAGCCAGTGAAGACCCTGGCCCCGAACGCCCGCCCCTGGCGCACCTGGCGCCGCCGCCGCACCAGCGGCGGCGCCAATCGCCGCCACGCAGGGGGCCGCCGGGAGAGGGGCCTAAAGCAAGACGCCGATACCGCTGCGGCAAGTTCGTGTCGCTGCGACCGGCTCCGACACCGCGTGGATCGAGGAACCGTGCAGAATCTCGGAAAGGATCGGCGGCGTTCAGATCGCCAGGTCGTGCCGAGCTGGCCGATCCTATGCCACTGGCGGCGTCGAACCTTGAACGCCTATGTTAGAGTTATGTTGTTTTCATCGTACTTGAGGACCACATCCCAGAAACAATTTCGAACACCCAGAAAAATATCGGATCAGTGTCGAACGAGAATCAACTCCTGGGGTCCGACGCGTGAAAACCCTCCAATTTCGGTACTTCCTCGGTGCTCGACATTCCTTCTGTAGAGGCCTCCTAGATGGGGTTGGAGTAGATGGTGTCGGAGGATCGTGCCGCATCGCCAATGCATCGCCGATGCATCCGCGACGCATTGGCGATGCACCAGCGACGCTGGCGATGCATCGGCGGCATCGGCGTGAAGCAAATCGGGCTCCGCACCGAGCCGCATCGTCGATGCATCGGCGATGCGGCGCGATCCTCCGACCCCATCTACTCCGGCCCCATCTAGGAGGCCTAGAGAATGTAGGAACAAGGAAAGGCGATACCAACACCAACAGGGCGAGGAGATGCGAGGAGCAAAGGGGGTATCTCCCTGGTGGTGTGGTCCCCCCCTCTCGCTCGAGACGTCCCCCAGCCTCCAGCTCGGGGAGGCGTCGTGGACCTCCTCGCTGGAGGTGGGCCCCCTGGTGGTGTTGGTGTCGCACCTCCCCCCTCCGATTCTGGTGGTCAAGGCTAAAGGTAGGCTGGATCATCATAACGCCAAGGCCAGGGCCGCCGCCGCGCCGACACACGCCACGGCTCTGCTGCACACCGCTGCTCCGCGGCCCTCTCCCGGGGCGCGCTCTTGAGCAGCACTCCGTGGCGAACCCTGCCGCGGCGGCGACGACCCTCCAGGACGAGCAGCGGCCAGCTTTCTCCTTCGATGGACGAGCGCGTTCCACTACTCGCAGAGTGCCTGCTCGCAAATGGCCTGGATCCGCCGCGGGGGATCTACGATAATGCACATCAAAGCAGGCATGTGCTTTTCGAGCCTCTGCGACCGATCGAAACACATCGGCCGCGACCGATACCGAAACTTGAAGCAAAATCGGTAGCGACCGTTCTCGGCGGTCGCGACGCTGGAACACTCCAGCATCCAGCGATCAGGGCAGGAGGCGCCCCGGGCGTCGCATTATTGCCGAGCCCCCGGCCTCGGAACGATCGGCGACGCACGCTGGGCGGCGGCGGCGACCGGCTCCCCCGAAGCCGCGCCGCGAGGTTTAGGTCGGGCCTCTCCCCCTACAGGGGGATGTTGGTCGCTTTTATTTGTTTAAAATCGTTTTTGTACATAGTTTTCTTTATATGTTCTGTTCTTATACAAAAAACTCCACAACTGCCAAAACATGACTCTGCTTTGACTATTTTGGACGATTCCTCCTGTAGAGAGACCTGCCCGACTCAACGCGAGGTGCGGAGCGCGCGCTCGGCGCAGGCCAGGCAGCGCCCCGGGTCCTCGGAGCCGTCCGCGGCGTGGTCGCCGGCGGGCGGCCGGGCACCGGGCGCCTCCCGGGGCGGCGGGGCCCGCCCGGAGCACTGGCTGCTGGAAGCTTCCAGTCGCGACCGACGAGAGCGGTCGCTACAGTCAACCCGTATAGTGAAGTTGCGCAGTAAGGATGCAAGGGCCTTGGAGGGCCATTCCGATGCTTTTCGAGCGGGGCGCGGCCGACGAAAGTGGCCAAGGATGGGCCAAGAAAGGCGAGGATGCAAAGGTACCCTTGGGAAGGTTGCCCATCCCTACTATGCGGGTTGACTGTACCGAGTTTGCTCCAAAATTCGGTATCGGTCGCGGCCGATTTGCTGCAGAATCGGTCGCGACGCGTCGCGACCGATTTTTTGGTATCGGCCGCGATCGG